AAAGAAATGGAGCAGGTGACAAAACAACAACATTGTATATACATGAATACTAAAGTTGTCACGGTAGAAATAAAATCCAAACACTTTAGAACCAGAAGAAATCACAGAGATTGAATTAGTCTGACTGCCCCAGTGCATAAGTAAGAAAACTTCTGAATAATCACTGCCTTTGTACATTAGGGTGAAAGGAATAATTTTAACTTTGATGTAATAAAACAATGTTTTTTTAACATCTTCAACTGTATATCAAATTAGATAATTACATATATATCATAAAATAAATCAAGGCAATTTTTCTACATAATTCATGTCAAATTTAATAGTCTCTTCACTGATTCTTTGTACTGAGAAAGGGTATTTTCATTGTCCCCCTCATTCTTAAGACTAACAACAGACTTTCTGTACTCTTCAACTGCTTCAGTACCAAGGAGCTCTTCTTTACTTAATTCCAGATTTTTCTCAGCAGCTTTAATTTGGAGAAGGGTTTCCAGGATGTTTTTTTCTGAGGAGCTATCTTTCCATACATACTCTTCCATGTCTGCTTCAGTCTTCTTTTTCTCCCATTCTTCAGTTTTCTGAAAGGAGAAAACAAGTTCTGAATTCTGAAAATTATGACTCGAAGTCTGGTCCACACTCTGTGTGTACAACTTGACTGACCTCCCTTATCTAGCATTGCTGTCCACCTGCACCAGCAGCTTTGGGCTGCACACTCTGTCACATGAGCACCTCGTTACCACTCACTAATTCTACCCACATAATTTACACTTTATCTGCCCTGCAAATTGCACTTACAAAGCAATAGTGCTTCCCAAAAGATGTAGAAAACTCACTCCCTGCAACTTTCTAGTCCCTAAACTCTAACTCATCAAACATTCCAAATTTCTGAGGTTCCAAATATGAGAGTTGAAAGGAGACTGTATTTATCTCTGTAACATGCCTCTGGGAATGACAGGGAAGACCAATTATTACAATAAATTTAAAATATAAAGTTCATGTGATTTTCAGTCATAATGACTTGATAAATTCTGGAATTTTGTCTTATTATCTTTATTTTCTGTTCCTATAATGGAAACAATTTTCATTACTACTTACTTTTTCTTACAAAAATTATTACCATGTTATTTTAGGGAACACTGGTAGGTTTTAGATTAATATAATTCAGATTTATGATTTAAATGAAGATGTAACACTCTGTGAAAAAAATCAAGCAACACAGCTAATATGTAATATGCCCTGGTTCACAGAAGTGCTGAATAGCAGCCACATTCTTTCCAAATTAACACATAACAATATTCTGAGCCACAGGCTATTATGGAATGATCCACTAGTCTTACAACTTTTGAAGGTGGTAAACACTTCCAAATTATAAAATTTTTAAAGTATTAAAAGTGAGGCAGATTTGTAAGGCTGTCAGAAATAATATTTTAACTCTGAAAACTCCTCTTGAAACAGACCACAGCTTGAGCAGACAGAGCTCCAAGGCTCCTCAGAGCCAAGTGAGCACCAAGAAGGAGGCAAACAGTCTCCAGCCATGCCACCCTCCCATCCCCACTCCCGCTCCAAAAGCTCCCGAAAAGAGAAAAGCACTAGAAATTTGTCCCTCAAAGGATAAAGATGATCCCCACCAAAGGCAAACAAGCCACTGTGGAGGCCACCGACTCAGTAAACCCCATTCGGATCACTGAAGCCCAGGAAAGGAGCTCTTCCACCACAGAGACCCACAAGAAGAAGAAACCCTCCTTTAATCCTTTAAACTGTGTACCCTTTCCTTTAAGAGAAACAAACTGATGTAGGGTGTTTCCTCAGATCCCAGATTCCTGAGCCAAAGTGGGGTCTCTGTACTCGCAGCTCCCCTACGTCTGCCCCACCTCCCTATACTGAATTTATGGTGGAGGACAATGTTCCAACTTACATTCTAGAAATACCTTATCTGGCTCAGAATCTGCTCTGCACCCTCTTTTTAGCTGGTAGGGAGGCTTTCGCTTGGCAGGGGGGCAGGGATAATATGAAATAACATCCTGTTATGCCCCACCCCCAGAGCCCTGTTGCAAATAACACCTAACAGCCAAACTCTGAATTTGTACATTTAAAAAAAATAACTGACAAAATTACCCCACCATACCTAATTTTTACTGTAATATATGAGGAAGGAATAAATGTCAGCCCCTTAAAAAAAAAATGTCCGAAATTAAATATATCACCGGCCTATCTACTCTTGCCAATGCTTTGAATGTTCAAGACAATGCCATAGTTTCTTCATAATTCTAACTTACAAGTGAAATAAACTTAATTTAAGAGGTCAACACATTTTATAAAGCATTAAATAAAACAGTCACTCCATCTCATTCTGAACTGTTAGAAGACAAGAATTAAGAGACCTGTTTAAAAAATTACGTGTTTCCTAGGTGTTTCTGTATTTTAACTGACTTGAAATAGATGCTTAATCAGAGGAGATAAACAAAGTAAATCCACTAACAATTTTCAAAATTTTTTATCTTCCCCTTATATTTGACATATACAATTCTACATTGGTTTGCCAAGGTGTGTTCACAGGTATGCCGTGATATTGACTCCCTGAGCACTCAGGTGCCACGTGAGCCTGGTGCAGCAGGGGCAGCCACAAGCATCCTCCCTCCTTTATTTATCTCAGTAGAGAATTTTTGTGTGTGCAGTGACATGAAAAAGGTTAGGGAATCCTAAACTACAGGATAGGGCACAGTTATACTTACTGCTGTTCTGAACAGTCTTTGGTAAGGGAAAGTCACTTACATTCTGTGAAGGGCATGGCTTCCTACTAATCCTCTACAGACACAATGCAGTGCTGGGCTTCAGCAACAAGCTAAACAAGACTCTTAGTTTTCTACATATTCTAGCTTTAGGGTCCAAACTCTGCACAACTAAATATAAATTCCCAGATAATAATAGTAACAATCCCCCAAACTGAAGACTTACTATATACCAGGTACTTTAATACTTACACGTATATATTAATTATTTAACATAATTCATATTAAGACATACTGGGTTAGATCTTGACATCTCTACAGATAAGAAAACTAAGTATTACAGAAGTTAAATAGAGGGGCACAATCACCTGGGAATGTTTCAAAATTCAGAATTTTTGTATTTTAACTTGTAAAGTTAATGTAGCACGCACACAGTAAATTCTGTGACATCTCCAGAGGAGATCTATGGCAGCACCCCCTCATCAAATATATTACTACTTTTCTAGCAACATGTATGAATATTCACACTAAATGGGATTAACAAAGGCTATAAATAGCTTCTCATCCATTCAGAGTTCATTTTGCCACCAAATAAGTTATGAAAAGACTAGCAATTTCCAAAGCTTTTTTCACTTCAGAATTACAGGTAGAGGGCTTTATATCTGTGATTCCCTCAAGGTCACACAGGGAGGGGGATGGCACAGTATTTACCATGGGCTTTGGTGTTTTATAGAACTGAGTTTAAATCCTACCTTCATCACTTACTACTGTGATAGGCTTGCATTTCTATAAGAACTGACCCCCCAGAACTGTTCTGAGGATTAAAAGAAGTAAGGAATAGCTACATAGAGTACCTGGCTCACAATAAACACTAAATAACATCTACTACTAGTATCACAACTTATTAAGAAGAAGAATAAATAAGAGTAGGATTCAAACCCTTGCTGGCACACCTCTAAAATCTATGTTCCCATGTCAAGGGCGCCACTACCACCATCAAGCAATAAAGCGAAACTTTAAAGGTAAATATAAACACATGAAGTGTCCAAATGTTTTGCCACCATTATTCCCACTCACAAAATCATATATGACTGATATTTATCAAATGTAGATTAAAAAAATACAGAAACAAAAGGTCTTTATCACTGATAGAAAGGTAATATTTTTCATGCTTATTACTTCTTGATAAATGTTATCACTGATTAATTTTCTCAGTTAATAGCGTGTTCTTAAAAATAACTGAATTATCTCCAGTTTTCCAGCAGTCTCCTTTGGGTGAAGGCTTTTTATGTCTAAGCAAATGTAGAAAACACAAACACACACACAGAGAGAATTTACCTCTTATAAAGACCTGTCTCAAGAAAAAGAAAGCTACTTTTTTGAAGTCCTATGTTACATGTATCAATAAAAAAAGATCTTTAGAATTTCTGTTTTTCAAGCAGGAAAAATAAAGATTAATTGTTAGCACTATATTTACCTTTTGAGGGAAATCTTTTATAGTCATTAATACACAAGTTTTCACAGATGGCTGCCATCCAAATGGGGCTTATCACTGAAGAAAGAACAGCTAAATGGAAGAACTGTTGGTTTAAATGATATACTAAGAAGCAATCCCAATGGACCTTTCATAGGGACCCCTTGAATTCTGGCTCCTGGTTTGGTTTGGCTAATGGGAGGCACCAGCAAGAGACCTAGAGAATGATGGAGAGTGAGGTCAGGGTTGTCCTTCCCAACTCTCTCCCTGATGGGGGGGATGCCCCACAGTTCCTGTCAGGTGGCCCATCCATACAGCTCTCTCTCTGGTTCTGCAGCTCCTCCCTCCCCTGCCCCTTCAGATATGCGGTGTGATGGCACCCCACTCTCACCACCCCTGAGAACTGCACCCTCACTTGTTTCTGTTACTGAACCTCTGTAAAATGTCTCCTTAATAAAATATCCCGAAAATGAAGAAAAACAAAAAAGCAATTCCAAAATCATCTTCTAGTAATGATAAAAAGGTAATAACATTGTATACTTGTCACTTGAGAATATGCTTGTCACTTGAGAATATTTTTCATATAAGAGGTATAAATATAAAATCCTTGAGGGAAAAAAAACTCCAAATTTCTTTCTTTTAATTTTACATTAAGATTTCCACTTTCAAATAGGATGTAACAAGTCACAGGATGCCTCTGCTTTGGCTACAACTGGAAAAAACCCAGGTAATCAACATACCAGAGAGTTTTATTTTTTTAATTTTTAAAAAATTTTATTTTATTTTATTTATTTAATTATTATTTATTTTTGGTTGTGTTGGGTCTTTGTTGCTGTGCGTGGGCTTTCTCTAGTTGTGGTGAGTAGGGGCTACTCTTCGTTGCAGCGCACAGGCTTCTCATTGTGGTGGCTTCTCTTGTTGTGGAGCATGGGCTCTAGGCACCCAGGTTTCAGTAGTTGTGGCACGCAGGCTCAGTAGTTGTGACGCACGGGCTTAGCTGCTCCACGGCATGTGGGATCTTCCCGGACCAGGGCTCGAACCCGTGTCCCCTGCATTGGCAGGTGGATTCTTAACCACTGCACCACCAGGGAAGTCTCACCAGAGTTTTAGAATCAATTCGGACTAGATCAATGTGAATTCCAGGCTGCAAGCATATGGGGAGCATCCTTCTGAAAATCCCTAGCCATTTTCTTCCCTGAGTCCATTTTCCAATTCTGTATCAGACTGGCCCTTGGCCCACACAGAAGGACTCTACTCGGTAAAAGAGAAATGAGCAAGGTTTGAGCTGTTACCCAGGGCTTGTATGACAGATTGGAATTGAAGAGCCCCAAACATAACTGGTTTTAGCTCCGGGGCTACTTATGGGAAGCTGGGG